CAATTTTTGATTTAGTTTTTTGTTTTTTCCATTGCTTATCGATTTATGTATTCCTATTCTATGATTTTGATTATTGAACCCGTATTCTTGCCGAAATCAGATTATTTTCCTCTTCAGTCTTGTAAAGTAATCATTAGAATTATAGTTTTCCTTTATTTAGAACAGTTAATACAAAAAATTTGTTGAATGTCTATTTCCTATTTTGGGGTTCAGATGGACCCCGCTTGGGGATCTGAGGGTTAATATTTGAATAAATAAATAAATAAATCAATATCATTCAAATGATACTATACAAAAAATAAAAAACAAAAAGAACACATTAATCAAAAATAAATAAGTAAAACGAATTTTTTTTACTAACAGTTATTTTTTTAATCAATAGAAATATTTATTCAATAAGTGATATAAGACTGAGAATAAGACTGGAAAAGACTGATTATCAAACATGTCTTTCTCTTGACCAGAGATGTTCGGGATCAAGCTTTTTGTCTCAGTCTCAATTCTTGTGATTTTAATTTTTTGGGTCTCGGTCTAGAGAAAACTATTTCAGAATTTATTTGTCTCACATCTAAAATAATTCTTCAATACTCGTTTTCTTTTTTTATTTATTTAGTCGCCGATTAGCACCTTTTTGGATCATTTTATTGAATTACGTTCTGATTCCTATGATTTATAAGATAATTTGCTTCAAATCATAGAATATTGCACTATAAACTTGAGTTCCAGTCTTGACAAATTTTTTCTCGTAGCTCCGATTCCAATCCTGCATATCTCTAGTCTTGATGAATAATGGATTATTGTATTCAACAATATCAAAGCCTTTCTCAAGTTGAATCAGGTAAGATCCTACTCCTTTCTTTTGTATCTCATCGAACAGTTAATCAAGCTAATAATAATAATCATCATGAATTGAATAATAGTCTTTTACCAATAAGTCTTAATATACCAAGTTCATCATCATCAACATCTTCAATCAATTCAATATCAACTGTTCAGAATAATGGACAAATTAAAATACAATATGAAAATCCAACAACTATGAATATAACATCAAATACTTCTCTATTAAGGTTAATTTTATTTTATTAATTTTATAAAAATTATTTTGAAATATACATTTGAAAATATACTTGTTTTTCTTGTAATTTTAGTTCTACAATTTCATCATGTTCAACAAGTCCAAAAATTCCTAATAGTGATATAACTGAAAATCAAACATTAGTTAGGTAAAAAGAAAAATATCTGAATAATTCAATTTATTAATATTTATATATGTTTATTTATTTATTTTTTATTTTAGTTCTCCAATAATTCAACGACTTCCATCATTAGGAATCGATAATAATCAACAAGATCAAGATAATATTAATTCAAAAAATAGTACAAAACCACCATTTTCCTATGCCCAACTAATTGTTCAAGCTATTTTATCGGCACCTGATAAACAAATGACTTTAAGTCAAATATATAATTTTATATCAGCACAATATCCATATTATGAAGCAAATAATCGTGGTTGGCAAGTAAGTTGTTATTTAACAAAAAAGAAGAAAAAACTTTTTTTTTTTCTTTTCTTATTAGAATTCTATTCGACATAGTCTTAGTTTAAATCGTTATTTTATTCGACTTGCTCGTAAAGAAAATGATACTGGTAAAGGAAGTTTTTGGCGTTTAGATGAAACATGTGAAGAAAAATTAATTGATCATGCATTTCGTCATCGAAAACAACGTCGAAATTCAATATCATTTAATTCATCTCAAAATGATACTAATTTAAATAAATCTGATGATGGACATTCACCAACAACACAATATCAAAATGATCAAACAGATTTTTTATTAGCTGATATTCAAACAAGTAATCCATCAACACTATTATCACCAATGACAAGTCCATTAGTTGGACCAATTATTGAAGCTATATCACCTATTAGACAAACAGAAGATAATAAACGAAAACGTGATGATGATGATGATGATGATGATAATTTACAGTAGGACTTTTACCTTTTTTTTTTTATTAAATATTTTTTGTTTTGATTAATTTTATTTTTTATAGGTCTGAACAACAAATAGAAGATTTATTACATAGTCTTATTGCATCGATTGATGAAACTGTCAAACGTCAAAAAACATAATTTAAATCATTTTTCTGTGTTCATAATTGTATTTTTTTTAATTTTCTATGGAAAAGAAATTTAAGAAACCAAATAATAATATGTTTTAGATTTTTGTTTTCAGTTTTTTTTGTATGCGTGTATCAAATTAATGTGCATACGTATGCTGTTATCAATGAACTATTGATTTCTTTTTTTTTTTCTTTCTTTTTATAAAACATAAAATTATTTAACTAGAAAAGATTTATGATTTGTGTTCTAGAAGAAATATGACAAAAAGAATTTGATCTTGCATGTCTAATTAGAAGTTATATAAAGAGTCAGTCACATTGATTAGAAGTTTCTTTTGTATAAAAAAGAACTAATTATGATTTCGAAATTTTGTCTTGAAATTAGAGTCCTGCAGAACATGGATAACCCACCCTAACAGGGCATGGTTAGGTTGCCGATTACTGTTGTCATAGTTTGTTACCCTATGACAGGAAGATTGCTGTTAACATGTGTAGAGCATTTCGGCGGTATGGAATAGTAGAATGAGCACAGTGCGTGATTGATCCCGATTGGGCATAAAATGATTCTAGAACTAACAAACTTACAGATAGCAGACTAGTACACGAACCAATCTGACACCGAAAATTGCTGTGAATTATGGTCAGAGCCAGAAAGTAAAATCACAACTGGTTAATCTATACAGCAAGGAGTCAAATCAAAGTGGCTACTAGCTCCCATAGGGCGGTGTCCGCGTGCGGAAGTCCTTTCCATGCAAAAAATCCTTGAGCCAGATGTAATTGTGTCTTAAATACATGTATGACCATCTTGAATATGATCGGCATCGAGAAATTTTATAATATCCTGTTCATTTCTACTTGTTCTTCATCGATATTGATAACAAAAAAATTAAATTTGTTGAAAAAAAAAACTTTGTATTAGAGTATAGGAGAAGATGTCTGTAGTACAGGACAGGGCCAGGTTACAAAAACTTTCACAGAGCAGGTTATAGGTTGCGAAGATGTTGTGCCTTGCAGCTCTCTACTTGAAATTATAAGGTACGATGAGATATAGACTAGGACCAACACTTTTTTGTTTATTGCGAATGATATCTTTTATGGTCGTGTAAAACTTGTATCAAATGTCATATTATCACGACTTGTGTATTCTAAAAGCTTATGCAAAAATTTCGAAAGATATAACACTATATCTTGGCATGTTAAATAATAATACTTATATTTCACTTATTGAAGAAAAAAATACACAAAAATGAAATGGACTTAAAATAAAAAAAAGTAGACATGGACAAGATGGTCTCGATCTCGTCGCGATCAAACTGTTTTTTTTGATCGAAATTGATGTCAATTTTTTTCTGATTACGAGCGAGACCAAAAACGATTGGTCATGCTCATCACTAGTTACAATGGTAAAACATATGAAAAAAAAACAGGGTGTTCCTTTTTCTTTTTACTAATGAAAGAAACTTATGAAACATTTAATATAACAATAGCAATAAGAAAACTTTCAAATGAATTATCATAAACAATTGAGAAATAAATCGACTACGTGCATAAACATCTTCAATTTTTTCTGGTGCTACATATTCATCTTGACTTAACTATAAAATAAATGAAAAGAAAACATTTCTTTTTGGAGTTAAAACATATTGGAAATGATTCTCGATCATATTTAAAATATCAATCTCAGCTCATCTTTTTTCATGAGTTTTTTTTTCAACTAAACTTCTATCAAAATCTCATACATAACAGATGATCGAAAAATAAGGGTGTGTGGGTGTGGGTGTGGGTGTTATTGTATCCACCACAACCCACACCCACACCCAAAATTTCAGGTCAAAATACCATCTTTTGGTTTTTCCATGAGTGTCTTGCCTGAAATTGAAAATTCAGTGAATTGGTCACAAGTCAGCTTCAACAGCTCATGGGAACGAATTCTTTTAGACTTTTGCTACTGATATTGAGGTCTACTTGTGGACAAAATATGAGCTCGAAATCGAGGGAACACTTCAGGTACTTTCCTCGTCAGTTTTTGGAGCCTATCTTTGGCAAGCAACTATTTTTTTGAAAAATGAATATCTTGAGAACGGAACATTGTTTTTGGCTGAAACTTTCAGGATATTCTAACGATCATTTGACCTATATATAGGCAAAATTTCAGGTCGAAATTCTATAATTTAGTTGCTCTGGCAAATAGCTACGAACGGGTCGAAAATTCAGTAAAACGGTCATAACTTTTGAAGAAAGAGCCATAAGCTCAAACTCTCATAGGCTTTTTTTTTTATCTCAATATGCTCTATCGAGTGAGGTAGGAATGAATCAAAACAGAGTTGGACACTTCGGGTGGTTCCCTCGTCAGCACAATCATGACTATTTATATATTGTGATTACATTGCTCATTGTTCATTTATTTACTTATTTAGTTTTTTTTTTTTATCTGTTTCGGTAAGCTACGGTTTGCACGTTTTAATTAGTTATTATTAAAATTTTACATAGAGCGTTTACGAAGTCTTATGTTCCTGATTCATATTTATACTCTCGTAATATAGTCGGACTTAATATGTCCCCTTCAACTAGTTCATCGAATTCACTCAAAAGATTTCTACTCAAAAAAAAACAGAGTTTTTTCTAAATGCTATATATTCTTTTTTGTCTTTATCCAATAGTCACATACTGCATTAAGCCAATAGATCTTTCGCTTAATCATGTTATTTTGACACCTATAACTTTCTTGTCTTCTTATGAAGACAGTTTTCTACTTTCACTCAATTATTATCTTAATATTAGTATGTAAAAAAAAGTACACAGGCTGACGAAAATAAACGATAGGCACAGGTAGGCTGAAGAGGTTCATAGCCTGTCATGGACAGACTAGGCCTACGAAAAGTAGACCTGTTTGAATCTCTGCTGGACATGCTTCGGTTCATCGCTAAAAGTCGTAGCGAGAAATTCCACATAACATTTATTGAACACAGACTCGTTCTTGATAAGATCGATTATTTCAACCTAACAAAAGAATTTCCATATCTTTCTTATGAAAGTGTACTAAGACTACTATGATTAGATTGAAAACTTTCCAGTCAGAAATGAATAAATAATTTTTTTTTATCAGAAAAGTTCATCAATTTCTCCGTTAGTTTGAAAAATTAATCTCGTTTTCGCCTTTGATCAAAGAAAAATATCGAATGTTGAATAGGATGAACTGATGCATCTCACTCACTCTGCTCAGAAGAGCTTCGAAAATGAGAAATTATATTTTTTATGAGAACCAAAAATTTTCTGAGAAGCTCAGTTCATCCAGCTTCCTCATGGTTACGCCATAACTATATGTGCGAGACTAAGTTTTTTTGGTCCTCGTCGTAATTATTTCAAAATATGCGCACATGAATTCCAAAAAAGCTTTCAAAATTGTGATTTTTCAATTTATTGAGTCAACGAATGTCTCACTGTATTTAGTCTTTTTTTTACTCATGTTATGATTGACATAATATACAAAAAACAATTTGTTCAGATGCAATAGAACACTTAAGCACAATTTTGGTCTCAGTTTCGATACCAAGTACACTTTCCAGTTTGGTTTCATTCCAGGTCTTTTTAACCGAGATTATCATTGATCTCATACATTTCTAGATCCAAACAAACTAACTACGGTCTATACTTCTTATATTTTCATGCGATGTTTTTTTTTTAATTTAACCAAATAAAATCAATGGTATTCTTTTATTAAACGATACATTAAACAATTTTTAAGTAGACTTCCAATGTCTGATTGATATACTATATCTTATTCTAAACACAATATTATGTATTATGAAAAACAAGCTACATGATAAACGTTGCAATAAAAGAAAATGACCAGACGAACGGATCACTCATGAATAATATTAAAAAAAAATGTTAGACAGATTAGAAAATGCCATCGGTCATTCATCATAGTTGAATACTATGACGTGAATGTTTTTTTTTTTCATTGTTCTTACAGACGAAAATGAGCAAAGTATAGAGATATATAAAACGAAATGAATAAACAGTATGTGAGTGTTAAAATGAATAATTCGAATATCAATAATCCTACTATACTCAATTTACCTGATGAAATATTACTCATCATTTTCAATAAACTGAATACAATCGATGCTCTCTATTCGCTTGTGGATGTTAATGAACGATTTGATCGATTAGTACTTAAATCACTTCATATTCGCAATCTTGATACGACCAACATGGTCATAAAATCATATTATGATCGTACATTTTCAATAGACAATAATGTTCTTCCGAAAATATGTGAAAAAATCTTACCTCGAATTCATCATCAATTGAATAAACTTACTATTGAACAAAATTCAATGGAACGTATTCTACTTACTGTTAATTATCCTCAACTTTACTTGTTATCACTTGTTAACTTTCAAGAAGAAATACTTTTTCAATATTTAACAGGTACACTATTCATACTTTTATTCATATTAACTAACAAAATGATGAAATACTGTCATATAAATTAATAAGTGTCTTTATTTTTTAAATTAAAGGTAATTCAGTTCTTCATGATCTTCTCACTCAACAAATTACACATCTTAATATTGATGTTCCATATGAGCCAAAATCAGAAACATCTGAAACTCTATCAAGTATTTTTGCATTGATTTTATCTGTATGTCAACGAATGACCAATTTGAATTTTTGTCAATTGTTTTCTGATCGAAAAGCTTCAATTTGTATTTATAACTTACCATCAACAAGTTGCATATCTTCGACCTTAACTGAATTAAAAGTTAATGTCGCAACTTTTGATGATTGTCTTTTTCTTCTTGCTGGACATCTCAAATGTTTATCAACATTGATTATTGATGTGAAAGACATATCATGGAGTTTATCACATATAAATAATACGGTAAATATAATATCAATACTTGTATTTTGAAGAGAAACAAATTCCTAATTATATTTTCATTGTAGAAAAAACTTCCCGAATTGAAATGCTTCTCATTGACTTCAATAGAGTATGCATCTGATTATGATGATCAAATTATTCCATTACTTCGTCGAATGATAAATCTTAAAGAATTAACATTATTCTTGACAGTACTAAAACCTTACTCGACTTATATTGATGGTATTCAATTACATGATCAAATTCTTATTTATATGCCACAATTAAACAAATTTACGTTCAATATAATCACAGCTATTGTCAACAGAAACATGAAAATTGATCTCCAATCGAATGAATACATTCAACATAGTTTTATTGGAAAAGGATATGGAGAAGTTGGTTCATGTGTCCATACTAGATCAGAGCATAACGCAGGCACGTCACATGTTTATTCACTTCCATACAAATTCGAATATTTTCTTCATCTTAATAACTCTTTTCAAGGTGATATGTTTGATACAGTCCAATATTTAACAATGATTGATGGACGTCCTTTTGAACATAATTTATTCAAGCTTATCTCTCAATGTTTTCCTCTTTTGAAAAAGTTATGTGTTGTTAATTATCAACTACAAAAAAATAAGCAACATTCATCTATATTGATTATATTTCCTCGTCTTATTCTTCTCAATCTGTTTGAAGCACATGTGGACTATGCTGAACAACTTCTCTGCGATAAAAATATTCATCTGCCTGCTTTATTGGATCTATGCATCGATTACAAATCACTTGCAATGATAACAAACAATTTTACTAATAATCCAATACGTCTCAATTGTGCTAAAATAAAAAAACTTCATACAGATCCGTTTTTACGGCCGAAAAATTTTCATAAATATTTTCCTTTATTATAATTATAAATATTGATTTTGTTAAAAATTTTTTCAATAAAATAAGGTAGTTTGTTTGAAGTAAAATATACTTGAATCAGCTAAAATCAAATCATAATATAATAAACGAATTCTTTTTTTTTCATATATATTATGCTTCAACAAAATAGCTGTATTTATTATTTTATTATTTATATACCTATTTAGCTACACTTTTAAAATTAATATCAACATGAATAATATCATTTTTACTAACAATACCATCTTTTAAATTTCAAATAGAACTAATATAATGTATTCTCATACAACAAATAAACTAATTTATTGTAAGAGTAATATTTTCATATTTGTTTGTACTAAATAATCTTTGCTTGCAGATGAAACTCCTACATATATGCTTTCCAAGTAAATGAATCCATTCGAATTCTGTTAAATTTGATCAGCTATCAGAAATTTGATAAGAATTTGGATAACCAAATTCATTCAATGATCCAATACCGAGATTCTGACATACATCTCGTGGAATGTAATATTTGGATATGATACAAATGATGACACTAGGATTTCGAAAGAGTTCTGAAGTTTTTTTTTCAAGTATAATAGATATCTAATAAGAACTAAAATTCAATTTTTTAGGGTATCAGCTTATTCATACAGTCAATCGTAAAAATATAAATGAAGATTAAGTCACATGGGAAATGTTCCATTAGGTGAGCTCGATGATTATACTCGAAATTTTCATCTCATTTTTCCATCCATGCGTTGAACTAATTACTTTTAGATTTCAACATTGGAATTCAATCAGATCCTAACATGAAAGATCAGAATGCAATTCCATCATTCGGTTTCCGACAATATTTCTGCAAGATTCTATCGTATTTTACAGGATTCTGATAAGACTCGAACGGAATTCGATCTGTCTTTACAGAATTCTATTGTTGCATTGGTTCTCTTGGGGACGTAAGATATTTTTCTCAAATTCTGTCATGAACTTACTCGTCTATTCAAAAGATACGATTATAACATGATTTGATGCCCAGACCTAGATTACGAATATAAAAAAGATCAAGTAAAAGACATCGACACATTAGAAGACCTGGAGTCTTCTAGTCTGTCTTATCATTCATAAGTCAAAAAGGGGGGTCTTGTATTATGTCCCTAAAAAAAGTCATATTTTTTGGTAGTCCTATCAACAAATCTTAGTTTCACTTGATTCTTGTCCAATACATCGTTAGTAAATGAGTTTGTTTCACTTATTTCATATGTGTAGAATAAGAAAGAAACAGATATTATCCTGTGAAAAAAGAAAGACTATCCTTGGTAAGAAGTGTTGTTAGAACAATACCATCAATATAGCCTAGCATCTTGGTATGATATCCAATAGCGTTCTTTTTTCACAAGGCTAAGACCTATCGCTGTCAACATTTTACCTTCTCAATAACTAAATAAATGTAAAAAAAAAGAAAATTAATTTTTTTTTATCAGACTCATTTAATTCAGTAGCTTATGCGGAGATTTGGTTAGTATAGATGGAATTCGTTCGCAGTGAATTCTATGACTAGCATAGTTATTAGTCTCAAGCTAACTTCCATGAATACAATTCTCTTGCGAAGAAAACATTTATAGAAAGTTTCTTGTCAATTGATGAAAATTTAATAAATAAAAATAAGATGAACAAAAAAAAAGAAAATATTGTATTAACATGACATTAAGAACCAATATATTGAAAAAAAAACCAGAAGAATCAATACATTGAAGAAAAAAAAACCAGAAGAATCAATACATTAAAAAAAAAAAGAATCAATATATTAAAAAAAAAAGTTATTTTTCAGATGGAAGTCGTTCAAGAGCTGCAATAATATCTCCCATCGTTGCTGTTAGTGCTAAAAAGAAAAAAAAAGATTAATTTAAAAAAAAAATTGAATCAATTACCTTCTAAATTCTCTTCACGATTAGTGAAACCCATTGAAATAAGTTGTTCTAATTGAACAGCATACCGTTGATCTGATGGAATATTCTATACTATAAAAATCAGAAAAAACAAAAACAAACAAATTTAAATCAATATACAATATTTTCATTTGTCGTCATATTCAACATTTGAGCAAATTTAGCTGGATCACTCATCTAACAAATATAAGAGAAAAATTTATTTATGTCAAATATAAATCTCGAATATTCTTATAATTTTCAAATTATTATTTACCGTCTCATTTTCTTCATCATATTCATGATCATTATTTGTTGTTTGTGCTTCTTTTTCTTGTAATGTTTGATCCATATTAAAACGAACAGTTTCAACATAAAAGATAGCTCTTGCTAAATCGTATTCTAATTGTTCCATTTTTTCATCTGATGTTTCTTTGTGTCCAGCAGAGATGTCCATCGCGCCGCCGCCGCGCCGCTGCCGCAGCCGCGGCCGCGGTAGGCGGCGCGGCAGCGGCAGGTTTTTTTTATAGATTAGCGCGGCGCGGCAGATCATTCATAACGGTGCCGCGGCAGCGGCTTTTCATTTTTTTAGCCACCGCGGCAGCGGCTTTTCATTTTTTTAGCCACCGCGGCAGCAACGCGGCACGATTTTTTTGCACAAAATTTACTCTATAACTCTAAAAAATTTCCAGCTTCACAGCTGAAATTAAACTAGTCTTTCACATAAAGTAGACAAATCAAATTCTTTTTCTAAATGTTGCATTTTACGGTGATTTTAAAGTGCAGAGACAAATAAACGCTTTAAGCTTATCTAAGTTAATTACGTTGGTACGAGAAATATACTGATTACAATATGAAAGTGTTTATTGTATTGCCTTACGTTTAATAGATATTTTTAATATCATTTTCAGTTCATGCTTTCATTGCTAA